AACGTCTCTTACCCTCGCATCGCGATATCCCTTTTCCCTTATTTCAATAAACGTTACGGTCTTTTTATCACTTTCCGATATACAGTATCTCGTTAACTTGGTCTTCTAGACTGCACATTGGTATGTAAACTTTCCGCTGATATAAACGATGCTTTTTATTTGGATTTTAATCTTCAGTTTTTCAACAGGAACATGTATTTTAAGTTTCTCAGTAAAATTTTTTGTCCAATAGTAAGAGATACTTACAATACATTTATGTAACACTCTCGTAATCGAGGTATTAATAATGCTTACGTAAACAGATAATAAATATAATAATTAATAATGTCATTCTGACGTACCTCAGCGATGGCGAGTTCCGACACGGCAGCAGTTAAGAAATGATTTCCCGCGGACAGGTCGAAGCGGAAGTCATATTCGTTAATTTATCTCGAACTGCTTTAATACTAATAGATGCTGTTATTTTTATTGCAATTGGGATTTGTTTTCAAAGTACCCTCGGACGAAATACGATGATGCAAAGACCAGATTTCGTTCTGACGAAGTTATCACCTTGTAGGCAATGTCAGTCGTGTTCTTGCAAGAGTCGGCCTTACATAACGATTCGCTTATGCGATAAACAAGGTGTAGAATCTCTCTGGCAATTAGTCATTTGGTGCATCTTCAAACCGCGCGACAATTGGACGCAGTTGCGCAACACGGAACCAACTCTTAAACCTTGTTCTTCCGCTTACTCGACCTAGTGCGTACTGAGTGCTCAGTATGGCTCGTTTTTAGGAAATTCTTACGTTTAACTTCGTTCAATATACATGTTCAAAAAGTACTTAGCCAAAAACCATGATCCGTACCAACACTGCACAAATCATTTTTTTGGCTAAGAAATATTTCAAGAGATACTTAAGACGATCCTTAAATATAAGAAATGACTGATGAATAAATCAGCTCGCACTAGTACAGGCAACCGAATTCACAAATAATTACTTCTCCTTTTCCGATCTCTGGTTCATTTTTCCATATAATTTCACAATACAAATTAAGTAATATCGCTTTTACTGGGTGAACACAGCAGCTCGATCGAAACAGCGATGCGCAAGGAAGTCAAACGGCTGGCTTAAACTGAGAAATAAACGGAGAATCTCGATTGGAGGTCGATAAAACTAGTCAGGTGTATTTATGTATAAAGCAACAACATATTTGTTCATATGGAAATAGCGTTATTGAAATCTCTCTCTCTCTCTCCCCCCCCTCTCTCTCTTTTTCTCTCTCTTTCTCTGTGTTCGAGCCGCCGGTATCGCGCACGCGGATCTAGGACTATCTAGAGGACCATTCCCGCTAAACTCGCCCGTAATTACAATTGACCGACATCCCGTGCGTCCGCTATCGAAACATCAAAGCATCGCTGCTTCCGCGTGTCGTTCGTGGAATCGCGTATGTGCGACAGAACGAATTTGCATGCCCTTTATTATCCGTGAAACTTAATCATCATTGAAACCCGTCGAAACACGCCACGCTCGTTCGCGGCGACAACAAAGAGACGCTCGTCACGCGACGCGTGGTTAGTTTCATTTTAGCCCTCTGTTTTCTTTTCCTCGGTTTTCGCCAGATAAACGCGCCGCACGAGAAAGCCCGATGGAATCAGCCGTTTGGCACCAGGCAGGTGCCAAACACGGACGCGATAATCGCCCGCTGTTTCGCGATAATCCACGCGACGCGGCGTGCGAATAGCGTTAACGAGCGCGGTTATCAGCACTCCGTTTTCGCGCGATAATTTGCACATCGCGGGCGTGAATCCCGGCGTGAATGCGTCCGCGTTTGCGAGAGCGCACTGGTTTCAGAAGAGGAGGACGGACTCGGCACAGAGAACGGATCAGAGCTTCATACGTGAACCACGCTCTCTTAAAGTCAATCAGTAGATTATTACTGCACCCAGAACAAAAGTTCGTTTCTACAAAATAAAGCAAATTTTCTTGAAATTCAGTTTCAAAGAAACGATGTCTTCTTTAATCAATATTTTATTTGATCAATGCCCATTTCTACCAACGCAGTGTAACTTTAATCTCGATTCAACTTATGTATATCTTTTTCTAGTTTTACGAATTAGAAAAAGATAAGTAATTTAAGCCGAGATTAAAGTTAGTCTGTATTGGTAGACTCGGGCATAAGACTGGACGAATTAAATTTGCGCACGGTTGATGTATCTCCGAGTGTCTCTTTAGCTACTTGGCGCATAACGTTATGGCTGTACGTGCTCCGGGTGACGCGAGGTTCCACGAATCGCGCTCGTTACGCATTGAAATAATTTTCGCGGAATCGGTTATCGTCGGTGGAACTAAAAGTGCACAGCCGGCTCGATGTTGTTAGTGTTGTTACCAGTGTCTGTCCATTCCGCTTATCGACAAGATCGCGCACTTCGCCCTGAGCATCGATTACGAGCGCGCGTTGCTCGCTCGAGGTATAATATCCTGACGTCATCTACGACGGCCGGCAGGAAATGGACAGCACCGACCGATTGAACGTAATTTAATAAAACCCACCGGGGGCCTGTCCGGCGAACGAATTGCGAGCTGTCAGCCACCCGCTCATTTCGATCCGCGGGGATAAATAAATTAAACGCCGCGCGCCCGGTAATCTCGCATCTCGCGCCGCGAGATCGAAGAGTCGATCGCGCGTTGTGCAATCAATGATACAAATATCCTTCGAAGCGCCGCTTTTCCTCCCGGTACTAGAAAAGTATCCTGCTCCGATCGTAACGATATCAACAGGTAATAAGCACTCGCGATCGCGCTTGCGTCACCAGCGACGATTACCAGTCTCGAGATCCCGCTGATTTCCAGTCGAATTAAAAAAAAAAAGGAGAGAGATAAAATGAAAAAGATCGCCGCGGGGATTTCGCAAGATGGTAATCTCCGAGCTATTTTCACGACGTTTTCCGGCGCAATTAGACACGGCGGCGGTGGCGAAGCGGAGAGCACACAGGTGCCTGCGGACAGAAGCCAGATAGTGTCGCCGCGTCAGCGGATCGCATCTCGCGCCTCTCGGCGTCGCTCGTCCGCGCGAAGAGAGAGAAATGTATTAGAAGCGCGCGCCGTGCCTAAACTCTCGAAAGTTCCGCGCGGCCGCTCGCGTATATAATTTCGCCGCGCCGCGACCGGTTGTCGATCAAGCGCTTTCGTAAGAAACACCTGCGAGTCATTACCCCTCGCCTACCTTGGCTTTCCCCCGGCGCGGCGATTCGATTTGCACGCGGGCAAGAAAATAAAAAGAAAGGAAAAATCGCTCCGCTCCGCCGCGCTCCGAGCAATAACGAACGGGGTTGTTCGCCGCACGCCGCGCCGAAAATCCGCGAGATCGCGGCGGAAATTTTGACAGATCCGCCGCCATTCGAGAGCGAGAGCTTCTCTCCGGTCCTTTCTTCTTTTTCGATCCTGACGCATCTATAATAGACGTATAATGTGCAGATCGCGCGTTTGGCAGTGTACAAACTTTCGAAAGAGGCTCTCTGTTGCCCTCACTACTTTACTAACATCCAGAAAAAAAGACTTCGTTGGGTTAAACAAATGAGATACGTTGAAGTCATGTTTCTTCGAATCCATTCAATTTTTACCTACTTGTACTAAAACATTTGCTAGACCTTGAGGAAATAGACAAGGAAGTAGATCTTTTGCTGGGTAGACGAGGCGACCACTCCAGCATCAGCTATCTCGTTCTAAAGTTCGCGCATGTTCTCAACACGAGAGTGGTGGGAGACGCGCGGTCCGTTCTTACTACTCTGGGAGAAAAAAGACAGCAATCCATTTTGGGGCCCATAATTAGTAATCGAATTATTTGGATTGTTCGACTTTTACACTGAGAAAAAGTCTTTGGAAATTTATTTGTGGCATGACTTTTTTCCTCAGTGTACCTCAGCGAGGGAATGACTCGTCGATCGATGTCGAGTCGACATCGACACCGTCAAACTGAATGTCGAATTGACGTCGGACTTGACAATGTCGGTTTAACATCGATTCGACGAGTCTTCGGCAAAAATCGCCGTGAATTCGCGCAGCCCGTCGCGTTAACGTGAAAATCGGCGAGGTATACGGTGGGCCGATCGTCGCGGCTAGGCTGTGGGAGCGCATGAAGTAATTATGGAGATGTAACGTCGCGAATAAATCTGCGTGCCTTGCGATCCGTGCAATCTGATCGTGCCGACGGCACGATCCCATCGGCGGCGGCGGCGGCGAAGGGGCGGAAGGGGGGAGGGCCTGATACCGGGCAACATTCTAAACGGGTCTCGAGGTGATAACGCAAAACGACGCGACGCGGGCCTCGCCCCACCGGGCAAAACTTTAATCGGCCGCTCGCCGTTTGTCGTTTCCTCCCGGTAAAGAGCTGGAAATAGCGACGGAAGCGACTTACGGCGGTTTACGCCGGATATTTTAACGCCCCGGCACATTGTCGGCAAAGTACGCCCGCAAATAGACCTCCCTGGGGTCTGCCGCGCTGCTCGCTCGCGGCCTTCGCGCGACGTCCTTTCGCGAACGTCGCGCGATTCGAGCGGATCGCGAAACTTGAGCGGACCCGCGGAATTTCGCGTAGAAATTAAACGCGGGGACTGCCCCCCCCCCCCCCTCCACCGGCGATTCCGATTTAATCGCAATCGCTTTTATAATTATAAAATAGACGCGAAGATATCATTCTTATACTGTTACTGCGACAAATATTACCACATGCCTCAGTGGTCGAATTGGTGAGACGCCCGCCTAGAGTGTAGGGTGATTCAGGTTCAAACCCTGGTTGAAGTAATATCTTTCGCAATAAATTTCCTGTATTAAAACACTGGCCGGTTAATTGTATGTTATTTAATTGAAGAGGAGCAATTTGGCGCCCTCGTGATTCACGGCGATTCACGCGACGAGAATCAGAGGGACGAGTAAAAACGAATTGGACGGTGACGCCCCGCGAAAGCGGAGACCTATTCTTTACGTCCACCTTTCACCGGTCCTCGCTTTGTGTTACAGTGGTTTATTGCGACTACACCGCCTCGGGAAGGTCGCTGCAGTTCCTTGAAGATTACATTGCGAAGGAGGTGCTACCATGTTTGGGCGACACTCGGGCATCCACGTCCATCTGCAGTCTGCAGTCGTCTCTCTTTAGGTAAGCGACAATGGGGACTCGGCGATCCTCGTCCTTCGAAAGAATAAATGCTGCGTTTCACGCAGAGTCTCGTTGGAATTGTACGAATTGCACGAATCGAGGCACGTTTTGCTGCAATTTATTATCACAAAGTTTCAATTCATTTATTAATTTTTCAAAAGTGGCCAACAACAAGGGACTCTGTTATACGAATAATAAACTACGACCATTAGCCAGGTTGTATTTAGATTTTCTCGGAAATCCAATCTCGGGAATTGAAGCTATTTTAAAATTTTGAAGTCACACTCGCGCGTTTCTCGCCGTAGAACGTGAGATCATTTTGATTTAATTCTTACCGCATCGCTGAAGATGGCACAAAGCGGAGCCAAGACGTCCGATTTGTAATTGTATATGTTGTTTGTTATTAAAGATCGATATAACGTTTACTCGCCCACCGTTGACCGCGTTGGACTCGACTCTATTCGCCCCCTTTTGTACTTGCCATCTGTTAATTTTATTAATTTTTCTCGTCCTATTTTTTCTTCGTTACAACACGCCGCGCTATAAATAAAATTTCCCCATTTATCTCGTCCCGTTTAGCTCTCAATTTATGCTCCGTGTAGGACAGGCTTTACATTATTTATCGTAATTATTTCATTAACGTAATCCAATTTCCCTCTCTTGTCAGTCGATTGCTCGTGAAAGGATTTTATTCCTGGGGAATAATAAAACGTTCTCGTTCACTCTCATCCCGTTCACTCGCTCACTTATTCAAGCCGTAAATTAATCTTATTCATATTTCATTGCAATGCAACTGGGACAGCGCGCGGCATTATCGGACGAATTTCCAAGCGCGTTCGCCGCCCGCATTAATTTTTCTATGCAAAATAACGTTTATAGGCGCGGTTTCGACGTGTGTGCATCTCAGCGACCGGACGGCTCCTCGCCGACGCGCGTTGCAATTAAGCCGAGCTATCGTCCGCCGCAATTTCTAATCCGACACTCCCGTCCGATAAGCCGCGAGTTATGGCGAGTCGCGCGATTCCGTCGCTTTGCTCGCGTCGCATTGTCCAAGGAGATACCCACGTCGCTGGTCCGGGAACTTTCTCGGCCGCGGCATAAATTTAACCGGCGTCGCGATTAAAAAGTCCTTCGATGACGAAGCGCCCGTCGTCTAGGCGTTATCGTCGCCGCTATCGCCGACGGCTCTCGTGGCGAGACGGCGGCTCCGAAGGAAAAGCATTTTTTAATAATAAACTTAAAGTAAGACCCCTAACTAAACAGCGTATGAGAAAACGCCAATGCGGGTTACAAGGCAAGATGTAGGTAGCCCAACTTGTAATTTTTATATTTGAAATGTGAATTCTCGTATACCGTTTCTTACCACATTTGTCCTGCGCGCCGGTATCTTTTCGGACGTAACGCAGTTTTCTTCATTTTTCACCCAACTACCTTAAATCTCGCCGGACCGGGCGGCGGTGGCGGCGATCGCGCGAAATACTCCCGTCTCGATTCTCCCGTTTCCTGGCGCTGATGTCCCAGATCAATATCCACCCCCCGAGGCCGCGACGCTCACCCGGTGGTGGCCTGCGAGAGGACCGCGATAACGATGACGATACGCGCGATACCGGTTCATCGTGCGGCGGATGACGTGTTCAGCGACGTGTGTGCACAATATGCAATAAATTGCCGCGCAATTTCAATCTCCCTCCGCCTCATGACCGCCGGTGTTGTTCACCTCGCGCGACGGTGGTGTCGTTTAAAGCTGAAGTGTACTGCTTTCTTGCCTTAATTTATTAAATACGTCTATGTACAGCGCAACGTCTAGGACCTACTTGTATCCGTACATTATTCGGTAAATATTAATATTTTTCACCCAGCAGCTAATTTCTCGTTAAAATGCCTGTGATGATAAATCAAAAGTAAGAAGCGTGTAATATATATTTGTTTAAAAAGCGCAATGCATTTTGCTAGTGTATTGTACTTAATTTTTATTGTCGCTTGTTACGCGTGAAATTATGAAAAGTACAATGTAATGCCGGCGTCGAGACGTCAAGGCAAAAGGTGGCTCAACAAAACTGATTAATAAACAGTTATAAATATTAGTTTTAACGCGAAGAGAATTTGCAGAGAGTGAAAAACCGGGCCTCAGCGGGTGAATTAAGTGCTAGAACTTGGTCCAAGTTCCAGTTCCGGGAAATGTGTAGCCAAATCAACTTGCAGCTTTTACGGAATAGCCAAGTTGATTGGCTACACATTTCTCCACGACGCTAGAACCTGGTCCAAGCTTCAGTTCCGAGAAATGTGTAGCCGATCAACTTGCAGCTTTTACGAAGTAGCCAAGTTGATTGGCTACACTCGAAATTGAAGCTTGGACCAAGCTCTAGCATCGTGGACGCCCAGGTCTTTATGACCAACGCGCGCCGCGCGAAATCGATGGAGGCTGTGCAAACCGCGAGGTGTGCATTGCTCTCCTCGACCTACGTCTCCTGATCTCGCGTCACGTCACACGCCGCTAAATCCATATTGACTCTGCGTCAATCGCGCGAGCTCGCACGTGCTCTCGGGGCTTGCTCACGAATGCCGGTGATGTACACAGCTTTAGTGGCGTGAATCAGCGATCGCGTTGTGTCTATAACGGAGAGTACGTGGCGCAGTCAACAGCCTCTCCCTTTCGAGGCGGAGGGACTGCGCCGACGGACTCTTTATCGGCGAATTCGACGAAGGCCGAGTCCCAATGCACTCGTTGACGTTGCAGGCATGAGGCCAGAGACATCGTCAGACACGCGGTCGGGGCTAGCGAGCAGGACGCGGTCCTGTTCACCGGTCAAGGCACCGCCGCTGCCCTTCGCACACTTTTACGGCACCTCGATCTCTCCAAGTCCACCGTGGTCTTCGTGGGCCCGTTCGAGCATCACGCCAACCTGAGACCTTGGCGCGAGCTCGATGTCAAGGTAAGCGAACGACCGGGCGGATAAATTCGCGCGTGGAAAAGCCGAGCGTCAGTAGAGGCGGGCAGTAAAACGCCAAGTGGATCGTTAAAGCGGGCCGTGATGGCCGTAGGAGATGCGTAGGAGATGCGAGAGATTCGTACGGCAACGAACGCAGCTTCTCGTAGCCGGCCCCGAATCTTGGCAGCGCGCCGAATGTCGCCTCGCGCGCGCGGCCGCTTCTTCTTCCATTATCTAACGTCTCCCTGGAGGTCGAGCGACTTGGTCAATGAGCTAATATTAGCGCGCAAAGTATAAACGATATATTTTTGTGTTTATAAATATCTCTTTGTTTTGTAACAAAAAAAGTATCTTCGAATACAACGCGAGCGGCCCGACATCGACTCGGAGGGATCTGCCCCTAATAAATTTCGCGGGGACATTGGGCCATCCCGTATAAATATTTCCAAGGCGCGCGACGGTCCTCAAAAGTGACCCTCGGAATCTAGAATAGTCGGGGGATTGACGTTTGATCGCGCTCACGCGGCCGTCCACTTGTCGAGCGGCGGAGCCTTTTGATCGCGCAATTAAACCGCCTTGCAGATAGTACGAGTTTCCGAGACCCGGGAGGGCTTCTTGGATCTGAACGATCTCGAGCGGGGACTCGCGAGAATGCGGAGCGAGGGCGTTGCGCAAATGATCGGCTGCTTCAGCGCGGCCAGTTGCATAACGGGGGTTTTGGCAGATGACGTCGCGACGACCCTCCTGCTGCATCAATACGGCGCGCTCAGCGTGTGGGATTACACCACCGCAGGTAATGATCGATTGACAATCAGTCGCGAGCCGATCGGCCCTATGATAAGCGAGAAAAGATGATCAACTAATTAATTAACAAGAAAAATGTTATTACATGACTTGCGCCTGTATTTTCCTTCAGCCGCGCCGAATCTGTTGCGAGCAGGTGTTCAATTACCGGCTTCGACACACGTGCGTCGCTCGTAAAGTAGCGTAAACGTCTCGGCAGCGAAGATATAACTTAAATATTATTATCGGTGACATAATGATCCTTTACGTAAGCGCTCGCGCGTTACCTAACACGGGCAGGTTCGGTATCGAGGGGATTGAACGACGGGGCGATCGGTGATCGACGATCGATGATCGTTACTGTGTTTCTCCAGCGCCGTACGTCCAAATCGACATGAATCCGCATCTGCCCGGGGTCGGGGAGACCGCGGTGCACAAGGACGCGATTATCTTTGCCGGCCACAAGTTCATCGGCGGCGTGCAGTCGCCCGGCATACTGGTGACCAAACGCTGGCTCCTGCGGGAGGACGTCGAGGCGGAGGACATGAGGGACTCCCATCGCTACCACCGCGACCCCGAGCTGCGGGACGAGAGCGGGACCGCCGGGGTGGTGGAGAGCATCCGGTGCGGCCTGGCGGTCCAGCTGAAGGAGAACGTCACGCCGAGGGCGATCGTCACGCGGCAGGACAAGATCTCTCGGTGAGCGATCTCGCGTATTCTCCGGGGGGAGACGATTGCCTCTCTGCAGCGGATAGCCACCGATTTGCAGTTACACCCAGAAGAAAGTTTCTTTGAAATCAAATAAATTTTCTTTCCATTTTCACCTTAATAGACTTTTATGTCATTGATTTCTTTACCTTAATCAGAATTTTACTTGATTAAGATTCAAATTTCTAAGAGAATTCATATATCCGTTTCTTCAAATCTAGCAAATGCTTTGGTAGAAGTAAATGAAAGTTTAGTAGATTTAAAGAAACCTGATTTCAACGTATCTCATTTGTTTAACCTAAATAAGTCTTTTTCTGGGTGTATAAGTATACTGCTGAAAATAACAGTGGTACACTTACAACTGTAAATCAGCGACTATTTACTGTTTTCAATGATAATCCACTGATTGACTTTCAGAGAGCGACTTGCGTCTTACTACGGAATCGTAAACACTTACGACAATCTTTCTGCTCAGGCCCTGAGAATTGCATAAGAAATCTTTCCCACGTCTTGTCCCACCGTTCAGGAAACAAACACGAGCGTTTCGAGTAATTTCTTGCCGCGAATGTTTTCCTGTTTACGACTTATAGAAAGCTACGGAGCGCTCGGTGCTCTCTTTCTCGTCCGCGGGTCATGATTTCCTCGCGCGAGTTCGCCCGCGAGCTACAAGGGACCGCGAGCACAAGTTGATTGCATTGCGCATGTAATTGCGTGATTTCCAATACGTAGACCCATCGACTGCCTTCGTATACGTTGTACGACGTGATAGTTCAACGCAATGCTAATGGCTATCGCTTTCTCCTCTCAGGCAAGTTTTGGCCCACGTGCGCACCATTCCGGAATTGATTCTACTCGGCAGCTCGTCGCAAAACGTGAAGCGACTGCCCATCTTCTCGTTTATGGTGCGCCATCCTCGCGGCACGTTCCTCCACCATAACTTCGTCTGCGCCGTCCTGAACGACGTCTTCGGTATCCAGGCACGAGGAGGATGCGCGTGCACGGGCCGTTACGCTCATCATCTGATGGGGATCGATCGGGAACTCGCCAAGGAATACGAGAGCGTTCTCTTGGAAGGGTATGTCACGTTTTTTATCGTACTTTAGTTCACGAATTGAATCAGTTGTTCGCGTTTGACGAAATGTAGGTGATGATTGAAACAAGTTTTATTCACTGGGTTGCTTCGAGTTCGTTCCTATACACATCGAATCTAAAGGCTGGTCTACAATACATGGAGTAAGCTGGAGTAAGGAGTAGGAGTAAGGAAATAAATCCATTTTATTTCTTACTCCTACTTCTGCTCTTAGGCTTACTCCCGGTGAATCAAAATGCCATCAATCAGTGTTACAATTATTTTAAAAATCATGCCCGTATTTCAGCTTCCTTACACCAAAAGCTAGAAGTTAGGGCTCTCCCTTACTCCTTACTCCACGCTTACTCCACGTATTGTAGACCACGCATAAGAGGATCCTAAGTTAGGGGATAAAAAGTTGAAAGAGAGAAGAAACTGTTGTCTACACATAAATCGTTTAAATGTTGTTTCTCATATTACAGTTAATTAAAGAAAATGCTCGAAATTTAGATTTATAACTACGTCGATGATTCAAGTTACAGAGACATAATAAAGTCGTGAAGGATAAATTGAAAAAATGTATGCATTATTGCGATCTGATGCTTTTTAATAATTTCATTGTCTCGCGTATCTTCGATTTAAGTGAATTGTAAAATAGAGAGAGAAAACAGAGAGTCGCGTTTTAATATCGATCTTACATCAACAGCATTTCCATTGTTAAGAATAATGTGAAAAAAAATCTGATTTCACTCAAATTGCGACATCGATTTTAATCAATTTTAATCGCCACTCGTATTGCTTCGAGCAAAAAATAATACATCCGCACGTGCGAAAGATTACGCGCATCATACAAATTGACAGAGCAGAAAATGGACGGTGTAATTTCGCGTAATGGACACGTAGAGGACACGTGGGTGTCACGTAAGTCTTTTTATCCCAACTTGACGCAGGATTCTGCTTCCGTGAAAAGACCGTGCACGCTTGTACACAGTTGATTCTATTTTAGACAACGAAACGGCACCGAGGAAACCACCGCGGAGGGTCTGAGACCAGGCTTCGCCAGGCTGTCCTTTCCTTATTTCATGAGCGAGACGGAAGTTGGCTTCGTGCTGGAAGCTCTCAAGATGGTGGCCACTGAAGGCTGGAAGCTTCTGCCGCAGTACATGCTGAATCCCGACACTGGCGAGTGGCGGCACCACACCAACAGCGTCTTCAAGGAGCGCAAGTGGCTGGGCTCCATTAGGTACACGGACGGAAGGATGAACGCCACGGAGAGGCGAGCTTCCGGCGCCGGCGTCTTCCCGCAGACCTACGGCGATTCCCTGCAGACCGCCCGGAACATCTTCAACCGCGCCCGCAAAATGGCGCAGCGGTATCCGCTGCAGATCGACAAGAGCTTCAACTTCATATGCGAGCGCATGGAGACGCTACGCTGGTTCATGCTGCCGAGCGAGGCGCAGGATCTCCTTTTGGGTAACTCGCAGAACGTCAAGCAGGACGTGCCGTTCAACCCGCTGCTTGCCTGGAACAAGTACAGTCACGCGAGCACCGTCACCACCTCTCACGACAGTCTGGTCAACTGCCTGACGCTGACGAACGGCATGAGACGGCTGAACAGCGACATTCCGCGCACGGGCAACGCGCCCATCTCGACGATCTCGCCCAGGCATCGGAGCCTACCAGCGCTGAGCACGGTCCGGCGAACTCTGATGGCGACCACGGCGGAACTGAACCAACCGTCGTCATCGAGCAACAGCGAGGAAGAGAGTTCGAACCAGAGCGAATATTATTTCCCCGGCGGACACCGATCACCCGCCACGTGTCCAAACTCGCCGATGCCCGTTAGATTCGCGGTGGGCGAGGCCGTGACCACCTCGGTCCTGGGATCGATATCCCGCACCGCCGCCCGACCGACGAAAGAGCAGAGGGAGTTGATGGAGGCGACCAATGCCGGACGTGCGAGATGCAATTCCCTGGGTAGCACCACCGACGGATGCATCGTGCAGGGAAACCGCGCCGGTGCCGCGACCGCGTCCTCGCCGATCCCGCCGCTTCCTCTGAGCCCGCAGACCCTCACCAGCTTGGGACTGAGCACGTCGAACGGTTCGTCGAGGCACAGGCGGCTTCACTGCAGCTGCAGTAGTCAGACGGAGTTGAACTCCCTGGAGTTGGACTCGGCCGCTAGCCCGAGCCACTCGATCTCTTCCTTGAACTACAATCATATTCCGGCGTCGCCACCGTCCTCGTATTCGTCGACCAGCGATTACACCGAGAGGCTCGTGGGCGGTGGTAGATCGTCGCCTATCTTAACGAACATGGGCCAGGATGATCTGAGCGCGTACGTCAAGGAGATGACCAAGGAATTAGCGACGGAGATCAAATCGGAGATCCGCGAGGTGATCTCCAAGGTGGACGACGCTTTGTCGGAGACGAACACATCCGAGAACACGCCGCAGCATCACTCGCGGGCTCAGAGCGTAGTTAATCAAACATACGTGGAGGACAAACAGTCGAGGCATGATTCGTTCACGGCCAGCGACATCGCCGAGTACTTGATGGAATTCTCGAAGGAAATGGCGAGCGAAGTGAAGTCTGAGATAAGGTACTTTTTTTGTCCAAAGTACACAATAATTTAATAGAAATGCAATTCACGATGTCACGTAAATGGCGTGCGAACGTATTAATTAAATGATTTGTAGTTATCGTAAATTGATTTTCTTCAACAGATGCATGGTGAACGCCGTTGACGGACTTCACAGGTACTCGCCGGACGCCTCCACTTCGGACGTTTCTTCGAGCGGATGCGGTTCGCCCGATCGCGGAAGAATCGTCCTCCCCTCGTCGGCGTCCCCGCGCCTTTCGAGCTCTAGGAAAAGCGGGCCGATCGAGATCACCAGCAAGGTCGGCGAGCTGTCGCAGCAGGAGAGCAAAATGTCGAGCGAGTGCTCCTCGGACGAGACGGTGATTTACGTGATGAAGCCGTCCGAGAGCGAGCAGATTGTCCGCACCCGTTCGAAGACCGAGGACGAGGAGGTGGAGAACGATGTGGACGATTACGTGGACGATGATTCGCAGGAGGGACGCGGCGCCCTCGACATCGGCGACGCCCGGAAGGTCCTGCCGAAGATTTACTCGGCCGTGAACTCTGTCAGCTCCCAGGACAGCGGCATAAATATGTCTTTTCAAGAGAGCGACAAGTCGATAGACTCTCTGGACCTGAAGCGGAGCAGCAGCGCCGAGTCCAACTCCGCCCACAGCCACGGACGGAAACCCAGGACGACCTCAATGATGAGTCTGTCGACCAAGTGCGGCGGCAAGCAGCAATCGCGTCAAAACGATAATCTCTCGGAGGACGAGGAGTGCGCGGGCGATCTGCGAGAGGAAGAGGACGACGGCCAGGAGACTTTTGACGATAACGAGTCGAGACTCGAGTTCCCGCGAACTCAATGGCACTGCCCGCCGAAGAACATCTGGAAACCTTCGGTGGAGGCTATGCAAGAGTTCGACATGATTCGGGACAACGACAAGGTCTTAGTTTGCCTGTCGGCGGTCGGCAAGGACTCGCTCTCCCTCCTGCACACTCTACATCAGTACAGATTTTACGTCAGATCGAAGGGGATCGACTTCGAGATCGGTGCGGCCAGCATCGACACGGGTCGCTCCGATCCCATGGAACTGATGAGCTACCTGAAGACACTGGAGATTCCATACTTCTACGAGGAACAGGTGGCAGACTCGATCAGCGTCAACGTCGAGAATCCGTTGGACGCCAGCATTGCCAGCGGGACCTGCAGCTTCTGCGACAAGTCCGTCAGGACGCAATTGTACTCTCTAGCGAAACGGAAGGGATATAACGTGCTGGCGCTCGGTCAACATTTGGACGATCTCACGGAGAGCTTCCTCATCTCGGTACTCCACGGTGGCATATTGAAAACTATGAAGGCGCACTACTATATACGCCGGGAGGATCTCAGGGTCGTCAGACCGTTCATCTACGTGCGAGAGAAGGCACTGAGGCAATTTGCCGAGAACAAGAAGCTTCCTTTCGCGCGAGACTCGCGAGCTGTGTCTGAGGTAAAAATTCACGTATGTACATTCCTGAAATTATAGAGTCTCTTTCGAAGCTATTGAAGCCACATCCACTTTAATGCGGTCATTAAAAAATGATCAACTTATTTACTCGCGAGATGTGTTCTTAGAGGATTTTCTCTTTATTGCAGAAGCAAAACAGAAGGAAGGAGTTGATGCTGCAGCAAGAACGCGCGTATCCGCGACTGCACTGGTCCGTGCGCACGGCTTTGCGGCCCTTGATTACCGCTCACGGACAAATCACCGCCTTCGACCTGGCTTGCAGCGGCAACGGCGGCAGCAGTCCGAGCGGCAGCACCAGCAGCAGCATAAGCAGCACCTGCAGCAACAACAGCGGCGGCAGCAACGCCAGCAATCAGCAGAAACGGCATCGGAGGACCAAGGCGAATCCCTCGGCGGGCGCATCCTCGTCCCAGCGGACCGGCGAGAACGAGGAGACCGACGAGGAGCCCGTGCTCTGAGGAGGGCCCACCGCGAGATGGGATCCCAATCGTCCCGCGGTCCCATCCTCGCGTCTCCGTCGCCGGCGCCCGACGTCGACGTTTGCCCTTCGGCGAAGACGATTGCGCTTCGCGGCCGCGGGCGCCGCCGCCGCCAGGGCGAACGAGCAGAGATGCGCCGAGAACGGCAACTCAGCGACGACAGCGGGCGGCATTTAAACGCAGAAGACGATTCGCGAGGGAGAACCCCGCTCGGGTCTACGAACGTTTACTCGCGAGTGTACATCCGTCGCGAGATCTCGGCGAGATGTGCGACGCGTTTCGAAAGATACCGTCGCAGTGAACGACTGTCGACCACTCGATGAATACGTGACTATTACCGAGTCGTCGTGACGGTCTCGGCTACGAGAACAGTCGCTCTCCGCAGCTCGAGGGACGTTCGCGAGGCAGCATGCTACTTATTTAATATAAACAGCGGCAACGCAGGGACGATGTGTAGGGATAAGTTCTTTGAGTTCGCGACGGAATTGTTTGATTGTGAATAATTAGGCGTATCGGCAGCCGACTGCGCGATTGGCTGCCTTACGCGAGGATAAGATACGACGATAATTGAGCTGATAGGGACGGAATGATTGACTGACGGCGCAACGCGCCCGTTACATTGTCACGTCGATCGTGGGCTTTATCGTCGGCAACGGAACGATAAACGGTACCGCCGTCGGTGCGCGTATACGATTAAGGGACGCGATACGCTTGAGAGACGCGACAAGCGATAGCTGCTTAAACACTGATACTGACATCATGTGCCGCGTGTCTTAGAGAAGTCATGCAGCGAGGAGAACGGAGGAGCAGCTTGACGGGCAAGCCACGAGAAAACCTCGCGGGAAAGAATCGAGTCGCGAATACACCTTTTTTTACGAATATACTATTGTACTTTTTATTTGATATATCGCCTTTATCCTATGATCGTCGAGTCTCGCGATCGACAAGTTTTGTAAACGATCGAGGCTCCCTCAATCATCGAGTCCTTTTCTACGTGCTTTCGACTTTCCCGACGATATGACTTGACGACGGGCCCATTTCTTTGCGGTCAAATAAATGCGTCTTTTAGATGGTCTGTCGGGAACGTCACCTCAGGCGGATTGAAATGACGGCGCGATTACCGTTACGTTACTCGTTGCATCGGTTTAATCGGCTCTCGGGAGCTTGAGCGAACGTTTCGTTTCGAGAGGGCCCCATCGGTGAGGCAAAGGCTGCGACGAATTCTCACCTGCATGAACTTCTACTGGGAAAGAGAGAGAGGCGCGTACGACGCGGAAAGGACCAACGTTTCTCGCGCGGGTGAAGCGTATCAAGACGGACTTGTCTAAATATCCGCAAGCAACGCGTACAAGTTGATTGAATCGCCTGACAAGTGGCCGAGGCACGTGAGAAGTAGCACCGTTCTGCGTTTCCCCACGTTGATGAGATAAGTGCGAGAGAGGCTTGTAATAAAACATTAATTTAAGGATTTGTTGGAAGGAACAAGTTTTTTCGTTCTATCCGACGAACATTTGAATAGCGATCTCCGATATTTCAGGCTGTAAAACGCAGGCTCTTTGCACTGCACTGGCATTGCCGAAAAAAACCACGATTAAAAAAAAAGTTGCGCTCTCTTTCACCGTAACTTTATTTATGCAGCTCGATCTGCGCTGTGATCGATAAGTTTAGTTTCGGTGCAAGAAGAATTAACGATGTCGGATGACGAACGAGTTGCAGATGAGAGTCCGCTCACATTCGCCGGATCATTTAAGTTTGTAATCATGACGAATCGCTGCGCGATGCTCAACAAGATTGATGAAGAAAGTTAAATTAAGTTAAAAATTAAAGTTAATCTCCAGCGGGATAAAAGCGCAAAATTTTCTGTACAAAGGATCAAATTATATTTTGTCACACCGAGGTTGTATCGATTAATCTCTGATCCTTCTGTCCGAGGATAACGGGGACTCGAGTCCAATCGTTCAGGTAGTCCGGTAATCAACGGATCCCGGAGATCCTTTTGGCTCTTTCCTATCACGAGACTCGGTAGTGTCTCGCGCCAAGTACAAGCGCAGCCAGAACCGCGCGTATTAAAATTACGCTCGTCGCACGGAACGAGACGGGCGGTGGAATCAAATTAATCGACGACGACACGCCGTGGCTTTGATCATGCAACGAAATATGTAATGTATAGAGAGCGTTATTTGTAAAGATTATTTCGTAATAAAAGGTAGTAAAGAGAGATAAATGACGTTACGGTGGAGAAAGGAGGCGCACGCAATTGGACCACGTGAAACGCCAGTCGTTGAGAGACGATCGGCCGGATGGCTCAAGGGGACTTGGAAAGAGGAGGACGCTCCGAGAGAAACCGATATCAAAATTTGCGCGAGGACGTCCGATAAAGTATATAAAAGCCCGAAAGGCGCCGATCGCTATACGATTCGATTATGATACTTGTAGCAGCAGCGGTCTTATGTTGTTCACTTCTTCTCTCATGTTTGGCTGTTGTACGCTCGCTAATCGTTAGTACTATAAGTAACGTATAAGACTTGTACGTAGATCGCATGTGAAACAACGTTACGCAACGTAGACGATGATGATATAAAATATTACGCTATGTACGTACCGTTCGCGTCGTACTGATTTTTTTAAAGTGTTCGCTCGTTCGTTCGTTCGTTCATTCGTTCATCGTTGAGTCGGGAAGGGGGAGGGGGGGTTGCGAAGGGCGGAATTAACAACCAAATGCGACAAGCGAGATGGAAGTTTTGATCTACACGAATCTTCGCGAATAGATATTCTCATATTTTCCGAGAGTTACGAAAGGGACATTGTTACTGTAAAGATATGTAAGTTTATTTATCGCTAATAAAAATGAACGTTGAAGAAAAAATGGAGGAAAAAAAAATGAAAGGCGCAGAGATTCCATTCTTTTCTCCGATTGACAACTAATAATCCCAGCGACGCGCAGTAAACGAAGACTTTTGCGATATTTAGAGAAAACCGGCAATCGATGGAGAACCCTGGTAAAAATTCCGTTAGAAACGGATAGAACATGCATTAATGCATGTTCTATCCGTTTCTAACGGAATTTTTACCAGGGAAGGTCTCACATTAAATGGACACGACATTTCAGGAAGTGGACGTCGCAGGGGGATAAAATGAAACCAGACGCAGCCGAGGCTGCGTATATTTTTTAGCGATTTATTAAATCCTTTAAAATATTTGAAACAGCGTGCGGCTTTGTTATTGGCGTAACAGTGATATAGTCGTTTAAGGTACGTAATACGAGGAGGGCAAAGCGAGCGAAGATCGATGTGAGGTCCGCCCGCCGGTCGCCGGATAACTCTGGGCGAGAGAATCGTGGCCAGGAGGTCCATCGATTCGGCACGGTAACTGCGGATCGTCGGGATTGAGCGAGCGACGTTTACGATCCTTCGGTCTTTCTTTTCCCTTCCCGCTCGCTCGCTCGGCGATCGCGCCATCGCGACGCATGCATCGGACGCGCGCGATCCGCGAAGAGGTTGTGGTGCGTCCAGCTTCCTCTTAAGAGTAAATTCAGATAGAGTGTAACGTTATCTAGTATTAGACGAGAGTAAAATCGAGGAAAAAAAGTCCACATACGGAGACGGAATTCATATTACGGTCTAATCGATCTTACATCTTAAAGTCGCCCCAGCGCGGCATCGCGAGACTCGGAAAAAGGGCGTAGTCGCGGAAGCCGCGTCACCTCCCGATATCAAAGCGAGAATCATCTATTTTTCAATCAGTCGAACGTCTCTCTTTCTCTCTCTCTCTCTCTCTTGCGTGTTTGATGCTCGTCCACCACGTCGCGAGGAATATCAGCGTGCCCGTTGGAGGGACACGGGCTTCACTTTCCGAATAACTTCCGTTTTCCGAGATAAAAGTCATAGTCGACCGCTGACGATTTATCCGGCGTTTTAGCGGACTCGTGGCGAGTCGCCAGGGGCCCTTATCGCTGTCCAGCGCGGCGACATCTCGCTCGTAATTATCTCGCGGCGTGCCAACGAAAGAATCGCTTCTCGCGATCTTTACTCGCGCGCGCCTTTGCTCGGCTCACCGCCGCAACTGGAATTTTTATCTCATTGCAGGGGGAATCGTTCCCTTCTCGAAACGAATTTTTGCGAAATCGTGCGAGCGAGCTGAAGTTATTGGACTCGCGTGGGATCGCGGGATTTTTAGAGTTGAAAGTAATTCCACGGTTCGGAAATGTTCACGTGTTGCGCGCTCATCAGCGGACGACCGGTGACGGTTAATTAAATCAAGCCTCGCGAGCCATCGAGTCACGAAACTCGTGACTTATCGAAAATTTCCCTCCCCGGTCGACGGGGTCCCGTGTGACGTGTGTTTTTAGTATACATCGAAGATGCAAACTCGTGCTGTACTCGCGATGATTCGCAGATAGCGATAGCTCGGTGCAGATTTATTTTATTGGTATTAAGATCTATATTCACAAACGCGCTTAGCGAGACCTTCGCGATCCAGCGATTAAAGTTTGATTCTGAAATTTGAGAATAAGGATGAGAATTGAAACGCGAAACGTAAACGGGTTGACGAAGTCGAAGTTTGAGCCTCGTACCGTTTGTCGATATCGCACGCGCGTTTCGGATTGCGAAACGCGAGAGAAAGAGTATTTCGCGGAAGCGAGATTGCACATCGCTTTTGCCCCGTATCGGTATGGCTTATCTAAGAGAGATGTGAGAATAAAACGTGATCTTAGTAGAGCGGAGACTGCAGGTCCTCGTCGTCGTCCTCCTCGTCCTCGTCGATTCCCGGCTCGCCGAGAGCGTGGACGAATTCTGAAATCGCACAAAACAAATGGGAGATGATTAAATAGATACCGGGATAACAAGACTGCGCGCGTCGTCCTCCCTGCGAGCGAGCAAAAAGAAACTAATTGTTAGATAACGTTGCGAGAAGAGAAGGTCCGGTCATACGCGTTCCATTTCTCCCGTAATCTTTCGAACAACTCGTATTCTCCCGCTACATTCTCTCTCCATCGATCATTTCGAGGATGGATCGCGCGGGAATAGAAACTAAAATTGCTCCATCAGCTCTTATCCCTGCGTTTTCACAAAACCGACGATACACAAGGCGGAAGAAGGCCTTACCGTAGAAATCAATTCGGCCGTCCCCGTCCACGTCCACCTCCTTAATCATATCTTCAACTGAAAGCAAAACAAAGAGAAAGAGCGGTTTACAACGTTTTTTTTCTTCAGATTTATTTACTAACGTACGGTGATGGAGAGAAAGGTTGCGACACACTTTTTCAATGAGTTTAGGACGCGCTGTATCTTACAATATGGTGAAAATGCTAAGAAGAGGCTAGAAAGAGACAAAGCTATTCACTTTTAGCATTTTTATCCTGGTTTACGTTCCAAGATATTTTCTCCGAGGAAAGTTTGACTTGAGAAATAGATCGAAACCGCTGAAAATGATTTCGGGACGGCCATCGAGTAAAATATTCCTCGGGGAAGAAGATTTGGGAGCGCAACCCTGAATCTAAATGCACGTTCCTAAACCCACTAAAAAGAAGTGTCGCAATTCTATCCATCACTGCAGGAGGAAGATCGCTAGGCACTTATACATCCTGAAATATTTAACGGGCTGAATGTTCACCCGCGCCGCCCGTTTTATTCGCCGTCGGCCGTGATTGGGCGTTTAGGAAAAAAAATGCGATGCATTTCGGACGGGATTAAAAGGCGTGTCGAATCCGAAGCGAATTCAAACGGGTTATTCCTATCACGGGCCCCTGCATAGAAAATATCCCCCGCAGTAATTCAGTTAATATATCTTTGCTGCGTTGAGCGATGGGATTAATTCGTATCACGAGTGCCGAGAGCGATGCCGAGAAAGATATTGCCGATATACCCGCATTATTTCCACGTAGAATTTATTGCTACGAAAAGGAATGAAGGCGGCATAACGGTCCGTTACGGTACCACGCAGGCATTCGAGGACTTCCCTTCGGATGCTTTCTAAAATTTTCGCTAATAAGGGAATTGAATTTCTTCATTAGGCGCCGCCGGGTCTCCATTCTTGCGCGAAATGATTACAAGCGATCCGCCTGCCCGCCTGTCGTCTGATACGAACGTGATAACTTGCCGAATTTTCATCTCTCTTACAGATCTAAAATGACTAAGCTTTTACTAAACACCGTGAAACCAACGTGACATTCTGACTGTCTCAATCGCTTTAGGGCAAGGTGGCCAAGTTCGGGTCAGATACCAACTCCGGATCAACAATTTGACGAGCCGCTAATAAAATTTTCGCTAATAAGGGAATTTAATTTCTTCATTAGGCGCCGTCGAGTCTCTATTCTTGCGCGAAATAATTACAAGCTGTCGTCTGATACGAACGTGATACTTGCCGAATTTTCATCTTTCACAGATCTAAAATGAACTTTTACCAAACATCGTGAAATCAACGTGACATTCTGGCTTTCTCAATCGCTTTAGGGCAAGGTGATTAACTTCGGATCGGATACCAACTGCGGAGCAACAATTTGACGACTCGCTATAAAGCGACATTTTCAAGCAATTCACTGGAATTGTGCTCTTTTATACATTTACAACTTTACGCTACATTGTCGATATTGTAAAAGGCATCGACGTGTTTTTACGTAGCTTATTAGCGACTCATCGAATTGTCGATCCGCATTTGGCATTTGGTTGCCTTTTCCTATATATTTCATTTCCATCGGCGGAATCATTTAACACGGTGACCTGCTAGTTTTTTTTTCGTTTTTTGGGTTTCGCGATAGACGGATTTGGAAAAAAAATTGACTGTAAAGAAACGTATTCCGATCGCGATGGACTTTGACGTCATCCGAACCATCGTCGTGCGGCAAAATGTTACACGTGTTACGCGGCAAACAGAGTCTCGTGGCGTAGTTTATAAACTGTAATTCCGCCAATTGTGGAACGATTGTCCGGTCGGACGTTGCGCGATTTGGTTTAAACTGATTGCGGCCAATCAAGGAGCTCGCGTGTCGATCGTCGTCCGTGCGAGATTATCGAATCGATATAAGCAGCCGCTTCCCGATGCATGTTTCACGTTTCGCCGACGCTCTCTCGGCTCTCCGGATTTACTTCTTCCTTCGTATCCAGCAACAAATTAACGTCCGCTCGACCGACGGACGCGCAAGAAGCTCGGGCGTCCCAAGCTTGCCGATAACGTCAACGGTTTTTCAACGCGATAACGATCGAATCGTATCCGAATTGATAGCCGCGTTGATCGCACTTTCCGTGTCGCCTGCCTCCCGTACGTTTTTATTGGAGCGTAATTAACTGAGCGCAATTATATCGCGCAGCAACAAGCCGCGCTTCCTCACGGCGCGGCTAATTATTTCTCTAAAAACGCTTCTTCAAACGCGCTTTCGTAGGCGTTCCATCGTGAAAAATTACAAGCGCGCCGCGGCAATTAAGGTCGCCCGGAAGAGGACGGGGGAAAAAACGCACGTGTGCGTTACGCGAAACGCGAGGATTTTTTTCCCCTCGTATTTCCCGGAGCAACCCGCGGTGGCGCGGATTCATTTTTTTACCCGTTTATTAACAACGCGCGCTCGCAGGCGTACGCACGCGTTTCCGCCGATCGAAACGTCATTCTTCGAAACGTCAAACGCGAAGCATCGGCTGTTAACGCAGAGGCAACGCGATCCGCAAATGTGCACAAGGCGGTCGACCAAACTGTCGCATCTCGATTAACACCTGACGTCTGTAAGAGAGGGCACACGTCGCGATTTGCAACTGCGGACCACGTTAATGGCTGCGAATCGCCGGTGCATTTCGGAGAACCGTGCAATCCGCAGTAGCACAGAACCCGCTAAAGCAAATTTATTCTCGGGTGAGGTAAACTTGGCTTCAATCTACCAACAGTCCCAACTCTCTTCTTACGCGAAACGTGTCTACCACGTGAGAAGGGATCGCGTTATTTGGAGGAAAAACCTGCGAAAAGTGCTGCTCGCGCACTGAGAAAAACGCTTTGATTGTGTTAACAAGACGTGCATGATGGAATGTATTTTGGCTAAACCAAACAGAATTTCTAGTTATCGCGATAGGGCTCGATATTTCATAACCAGAAGTTTGATAGACTTCGCTATACATCTAGTAAATCCTAAAGAAATCCTGACTCGTCCATTCTCTAACGGACGACTGGTTGAATCTACCAGATTTCTAATTAATGCAACCAGATTGTTTTTTCAGTGCGCGACCGAGTTTGAAGAGTGTACGAGCAAATATGAATAATAATCGAATCATGATTGGCAGCGATAATAGAGCTGATGAAATATGATTGTCCGCGACTTAAGGGGATGTCGGGGTGATTCTGCACTTTTTGCACCTTTTGCTCCTAGAACTGTCGAGTCATGAAAACATTTGTGTAATATAGAGAACAGCAGGGTTGGGAAGTACTTTTTTTTTGGTAACTAACTTAACTTTGTTTCTTTCTTTCCATCTGTAACTGTAATTGACAGTTTTAGATGTAAAAGGCGCAGAATCACTCCAGCATCTCCTTAACGATTACATGGGAGGACACGTGTCCGATTGGGAAATTTTCATTGACTCGTTATTAGAGATTGAAATGCATACACACGAGATTATAAAATTTTTCGAAAAACCACGTAAAAAGAATCGCGTAAGAAGAGCCGGTGGCTAATACGACACGGTTGGACAGGGCATCCCGCGGCGATAAACGCGGAATGATCGGTGTTGGTGACAGATTCATCTCGATGGGGTGTTCATGACGGGTGATTCTGCCGAGACCGTTGCTTACTTTGTTCGCGCAAACACTCGATTGGGGAGACGACAAGCTGACGTTTTCACGGCGAGAAACAATCGTGGGATGGCGCGGCTAAAGACCCGCGCGACTTCTAGATTTGCGATGAGCGTGCGTCAACACGTGGAATTAGGAAGCTCGAGTCTCCGTAGAAAAACGAGGGGGAGCGTGCAAATATCTCGAAAGCAGAAATTACTGAAAGGGAAGATCATACGTTGTCCTTTCTTTAAAATGTGATATACATCAGGCGGGAGAAATCCCTAAAATGTTCTTTATACTCACAATCAGTGTACAATGCTCAGCACACAAACAATACATTTTTCTATCTAAAACGTGTCGCATTATTTTTAAGGAGAAAACATGATCATTACTTTCTGCGATATATATCGGGTAGAAAAACCCTTGAAATATTCTTAGTTTAGATGAAACGAAACTGATTAATTTTCAAGTCGACCGGCCGAAATGGGCTGTGAATTTTGATTCTCTAAGGTGCTTAATTAGCAAGTTCATTTCGGAACTATTCAGGCTTGACACGATCGCGTTTGAGCAATCACGATTTGCAATACCACTGAACAATAACGTGATCAACGAATAAAATTCTTTCGTGTTTATCGCGCGAGAAGGCAGCTGAAAATAGAACTTTCCGCATAGAAATTTATCCGCGCGATGCCCGGCTCCGCCACGAAGTTATACGCTTCCTGAGAATCAATCGGCCTTAGGTATGCCAATTTAGGTGGAAATGGCCTACTTTAGCTTTTACGGCCAAAGTTTCTCTTATCGAAAGTATTTCTGAGAGGGAGAGAAAGACAGAGGGAAACGCCGACACACGTTATATCCGCGTAATCGCGTCACGTTGATCGCAACGGGCCGTCAGCGAATGCGTTAATATCTACTAACAATAAGACTTACTCTCCTCCTCGGAAAGATCCTCTCCCAGACATTGCAGCACCGCCCTAAGGTCCGACGCAGTGATATACCCACGATTATGTTTGTCGAACACCTGTGTGCAACAAGCAAACAGAAAAACCAATTAAAAATCTATGACGACGCACATTTCTCTGTCGCGCCGCATATTTTCGCGCAATATGTAACATCAGTACGCACAAAAATACCGGAAGCGGAGAATCTCGTGAAATTTTGGTTCGCGCGACCCGTGCCGGTGACTTGTATCGATCATTTCTTCAAAACGTACGATCCGAATGATGGTCGATGAATCGCGACGAGAGAAACCGACGTCTCTTCGCGCTGAGTTTGTTATTCCATCTCTCGCCCCGTCGCTGGAAGTTTCACCGCGATCGCGCGGGTGACTGCCGGAGGGCAAATATTATTTTTCTTTTTCGCCGGAGAAGTTACCCCTCCTCGGAGCTCGCTCTCCTACGTTTCTAAAGATATTTCGCCCTTGTTTCCACTCATTAGTAAGCAGGAACGTTTTGACGGACGACGTCGACGTTCTCGCGACGAAGGCGAAGGAGACGAAGCAGAGACGGAGCAGCTGGCGAGGGGGCAGTCGTTCTACTCTATTATTTATTGCACACAGCGGTTAATTGTACTAGCACAATTTGTACGAAATCGAAGCGAACAGACGCGAATCGAATCGACCACATCCTTCCCCGAAATAGAATTGGAATTGATGCTGCACCAGGGAATTGCTCCCTGAGAAACGTTTATGTCCGATACCAATACGACCACTTATGTTGCCTCCACCAGCAGCGTCCCGTTCCATGACGCTCTATCGAGGCAACGGGCCAAGCATCGTCGAAAACGTCAAACTCCGAGAAAAGGATCGCACCGAAGACGATCTTTGTCTCCGTTTCAGCGACCGTTGGAGTATCGCGAAGGAGTAGTTTGGCATTTAGCGTGAGAGACAATGCAGAAACATCTGTGGTACTGCGAAACAACATTGTTACACGCGATACTACTAGTCCGCTCGCGCGAACGTCGCCAATTTGTTTCCGCTTAGTTCGGTTACACTAATGAGTAGTTATTGCAACTACAGTGACGGCTTAGAACGCGTTGCCGAACTCCGTTCGTAATCTCCTCCATCCGATGACTGTCGAGCAGCAGCGCGTCTTTTGTCTGCCCGCGAATCCGAATTCCGGTATGAAAGAGGCTTACCCCCTGAGCATCGAACTGCTATTCCACAATTCGAGAAGATTGGTTCCGCGGCGCGTGTACTCCTTACACACAAGTTACGCGCTTGTGTAAAATCTGATTTTTTTTCCAGTATTCCAGTATTCAAATTTATACAGGATCAGCAGTCGTGGTACGAAAGAGAAGGAAGATCGAAAGTAGAAATGTAGGTTGCAGAGCAAAATTTTGTATACATTTTATTTCTTTTTTAAATTGGCTTTGAAAATTTACAAAGGTGCATCTCTCGTTTTTTTTTACATTTAGATACTATGAAAAATTGATATAAATTTTAACACGACTATTAAAATATAAATAAAATATAAATTATTGGAAGTGTACGCGTTTAAAATGTCAAGAGCACTTCTTTCAAAAAATTATGTTATTAATTGAGATATTGAAATTTAACACTTTCATAATAAAATTATTTTTTTTAGTTGAAATTCCATCATTGAATGCATTGAATAGTTCACTCGGATAATGTTAAGGTGCAACAAAGATCTCTGCAGAGTCTGTATGTAAACTGTATGCGTAAATGAAAAAATATCACCTGCGTTTCAATCCTCGAACTTGATTTTCGCGGAAAATCTCGCCCAAAATAATATTGTTATATAATTTCACTTTACTTTTCCAAAAGTAATCATTCTCTTCGTCTACCACAATTGTCGATTTCACTTATGTATGTATATATTTTATATAAATATATATACTAACAAATTGATTCAACAATTTGGATACCCAAAGCATATCTAACGGATATTTTTTAGGTATTCGTGGATATTAATTAGATATCTAATAGTTATTTATGTTCCGTGTCGGGTCTTATCTTTCTTCCGCGGATATTTTTAGAATGGAACGCAATAATTGGACCTTTTAATTTACGATTCCGTATCTGATACCCGTTAAGAGGCGAGAACGTGATGTTCCGCGAAAGAAGATCTAACTACATTTAATCTCTGAGAAGGGGAAAGAAACTTTCGTCATGTAGTCACTATCGGAGATCGTTGTATTCACATCGATTTTCGACTTTACTCCTTTCTACCGTACCGTACTATTTGAAAAGGCTTAAAGCTCACGATACGAGTTCGTAAGTGCCGAGGTATATTTTCGCAGCGCGGAAACACGGCAGATAGACAGATATTTGTCACTTTTCCTCGGTGGAAATCACCGGAGCGACTCCGTTTCCGACCGAAAGCCAGAGGGTGCCGCCTCCCGCCGAGGGGAAATGGGAAATAGAAGCTTGGAAAAAAGACGCTCCGCCGCCGAGGTAGAATCGCCCTAACGTGACGTCTCGCCGCTGTTCTCGCTCGCCGTTTCCCTAATGCGGAAATTACAATCGGACGGTCGTTACAGTGATTAGTAAATTATTTAGCCCGGCGACCCCGTCCGATCGTTCCGGCCGATCGATATCGGCCTGTTTACACCGTTTACGAGAACTGTGCGTCTGCGGAAATGGCGGCTGTCAATGCAATCATCGGAAATAATTAATTACAATTACAATTATTGCATAATTTAATTAAAGTTACAATTGTCAGTGTTCCATTGGTAACTAATGTAAACATATTCTCGCCCGCTATTTGCCGTTGAAAATATTTTCTCGCTAGTCGATAATCGATACGCGCCCGCGGCTAAGAAAATAATGAACGTCGTGATTTTGCTTATCAAATAACGCGCACCTCCGGCGGCCGCACGTGCGGTATTTGGCCGGGACATCCGTAAGGAATTATGGTTCCCGAAACGCGCGTCTCGTAGGGGGTTGTAACGAGTTGTAAAGATAAGTAAAGATAGGGGAGTCGACTGAACCCTACACTGAAAAAAATTTCTGGTTGAATATGGACCAATCAGATAATTCCTTTAGGATTTACCAGAATTCCTTTAGGATTTACCAGAATTTCTGTAGGATTACAGGAATTCTGGTAAATCCTAAAGGAATTCTGGTAAATCCTAAAGGAATTATCTGATTCGTCCATATTCAACCAGAAATTTTTTTCAGTGTAGTTAACAGTCAACCGATGTTAGTGAAACTGGCCCTAGCGAGTGAAGAAACTTGAAAATTAAGAAAACAAAACGATCACGCGGGGATTTCGTAAGGATTTCGTAAGTATTTCATACTGATTTCGGAGACACTGCCCCACGATTACATCAAGTGGTTACCCCTTTGCGTTCTCACATCGGTCCGACCTGAGCGTACACAGCGGCGGATTGCGCGAAAATAAATCACCCCCCCCCCCTGCTCTCGCTCGGTCGCCTAGTAACGTTGCCTGTCCGATAAGGGCCGACGAAGAACGTTACGCGATTAGTCGTTCATTAGCATGCTAATGCGACCTAAGGAATCTCTTACGGTTTTTTCCTCCGCCCTCCCCGGAGGTAAAGTTCAACGCGAAACTGCTCGCGCAGCGATCCTACCTGCGCCCCCCGATCCCTCCCGAGATACGTTTTATTTTTCGATTTTTACCCACCCCGCCCGCCTTTCTGCTTCCGTTCGGAAAGTTACCTGCGTCAAGTTTCGAAGCTTTCGCTGAAAAACGTCGGCATTACGTTCCCGCTATGATTCACGATATTTTAAAGCTTGAATTATGGCTTCGAAAACGACGAACGGCGTCGGTCGCTCGCATTCGTATCACGATTGTGTGAAAATCCCAAAAAGATGTATGTGTACGCGCGTCCCCTCGGTGTTACCGTTTATATAGAAAAAAAAGGCTTACGCGTCAGAGTCTCTCGCAACGTTTTTCGCCGACGTTGCCCGCGGTGCGGCGATGGTCAAAACGTATGGAATCGGTGAAATCTTCAACGACCCTCTTGCACCTTCCAGTTCTCGATATATTGCCTGCAACGGATACGCTCGATTGCCATTATTTGTTTTTGCGCGCTTGCATTTGTGTACGCGGCACTCCACTCGTTTTTCTCGCTTCTTTTATCTTGCCACTGTATTCCCTGTTAGTATGGCATGTACATACATTGTTTGCCCCTTTTGTTGCCCAAGGGGGATTGTTGTTGCGGATTTTTGAGCCGTTACGTGCCGCGCGCACATTCTTTTATCCTGCGCCGGATCCCTTTGTTGCGAGGATCGTTTCAATCTTTTTTTTTGGGCTAGAAATTTGTTTCGGCTCCTCCCGAAATGGTTAGATCGTTGCGCGCCGGCGGATACAATCGCTTGTAATTCCTGGATAAAAGGGCACGCGCGCGCAAATCGCGGATGTAAGATAAATCTCGGCCGGATCGCAGACAGCGCCGTTTGGATATTACATTTTCCGATGGCTCGATTATTTGCAATGTAATCTCGGCCTCCTCGCGCACGCGAGACTCCTCTTTTCTCTCCTTCGCGCCATAAATCTTGCTATCTATCCGCGATACCCTTCGGCAGGTTGCGGCTGAGTCGCTCGCCCTCCCCCTTTTTACAGCCCCCATCGAGTCGCTCTTCCATTTCGGTCGCTTGTTTTCCACCCTTTACACGTTTCCCGCGGCCCCGCCGCTCCCCCGTTCCCCCGTTCCGCGTCTTTTATTCCAGACAGGCGGTGCGGCGGCGTCGCGGTGCTGGTCGGGTCGCGAAGATTAAAATATCGACTTGGTTGACTACAATACGTCACATTTGGCCTTAATGCCCCGATCGTTAAACACTTTAGCGTGCGGAGAGAGAGAGAGAGAGAGGGGCTGTGCGGTTTAAAGATGCGGAAGAACTTCTCGTTCCGTTGTTGCGCACCGTAAATTCTATACAAACGCGGAGTGCAAGGCGATTTGCAAACAGTCGCGTTCGAAGGAATTTCAGCGTCGAGAATTGCCGCGGCATTTCGCTTTCGTTCGGCGAATTCGTAGTCAATTTTTTTTAATGACTTTGTTTTAACGAAAAGACAACGCGGGATAGGAAACCCTCTG